TTTCCCCCCCCCCCCCCCCCCTCCGGGGGGCCAGGTTGCCTTCTCCTCGGGGCTCCGCTGGGTGCGATTCTGGGAAGGATGCCCTAGATGCGGAACAGCCCGCCCAGTTGACAGACACAGGCAAAGGCACAGGCACAGGCACAGGCACAGACACAGCCCCAGGACACAGACACAGGCACAGACACAGACACAGGCACGGGCACAGACACAGGCACAGACATAGGCACAGACACAGGCACAGGCACGGGCACAGGCGCAGACCCCTGCACGCAATCGGGCGCTCGAGAAGGCGCGCCTCGAGCCGACTCAACTGCACTCCGCGGTATGCGTGCTGTGCCCCTCGCATTCAGGGCGAGCTCCCTGCCACGAGACCGTACTCCCCCCCCCCCCCCCTCTGCCGCCCTGTCACTCACAGACCTTGTTCTAAGAAGAACGTGCCTCCGTCTCACACCGCAGGAGGAGTACGTCATGTCGGCTCTCACTGCGGCGAGGGAGGCCCGAGATTAGCCGAGATTGGCCGAGAATGGACGAGATCGCCCGAGATTGGCCGAGATCGCCCGAGATCACTGTGGCGAGGGTGGCTCGCGCGCCCTCGACGCGCCACCCTGTGCTCCAGCTGGCGCTCGAGGTGACATGCGTTCGGTTGCACTCGGCTGTCTCCGCTAGAATCGGCTCTGCTCGTCGCCCCGGGTTCTCGTGCGACTCTGCCAGCACACAGCACCAGTGACCGTCGACCTATTGCCCCCGACCTGGGTGTGTATACCACGGCGCAGGCACGCTGCCCGACGATGCTCGTCTCGTTCAGGCGCGTGCGAGAGGAGAGAGAGAGAGAGAGCGTCTTCAGGCGCCGGCGAGAGGAGAGAGAGAGAGAGCGTCCGCCGAGGAGCCGCGCCCCGCGACTCGTGGCGAAGCCTCAGTGAGTCGACGGCCTCGCTGACGAGCGGTGTGCTCCTCTCTGGATCGTGTACTCTCGCGGCCGAGCTCGGCCGATCCCCGGCTGGCGCTGCACTTCTCGGTCAGGCGATGGCTCGCGCCCGTGTCCGCGAGCGACCAGGCGCGGGAGCTGCACAGCTTCCTGCACTGCGGCGAGGTCTCGGGCCTCGTCTCACCTCTCGACGCGCCGACGACGGAGCAGCGGGTTCCCTCCCCCCTCTGTGAGCGGCGCCCCTTCACGTGCGGCGAGCTGTGAACAGGCGACGACGACGGAGCGACTGCTCGCCGCTGTGAGGCGCCCAGCCCCGACGCACCGCCACTTCATGGCGCCGTGTGCGAGATCACCCGAGATCACCCCGAGGCGGGCCGAGATTAGGCCCTCCGCCCGCCGCAACACCCAGTCCGACTCCGCCGTGCCGCGGTTCTCCCCGGCAATCTCGCGCCAGCTCACGCCCGCGGCGCTCTGCCTGTGGCGGGAGCTGGAGAGCGGGCGTGCGCTCAAGGGACACTCCCAGCGGGAGACGCCCCTCGCCGCGCAGCTTTGCTACGGGAGTGGCGCTGGCCGCGGGCCGGCCGCGAGTCCGCTCATCACCACCAGAAGTGGGTAAAGGGGGACGTCGATTTTTCTTCTGGAATTGACTGCTGTTGGGTTCCTGGACGTACGAGTAGCGGCCTACTGCTTCAGCGCGTGCACCTCGATCCTGTATACCGTGTTTGTTACTATGACCCCCCCAAATCGCAAATGTGCAATACTGATTACTGTTGTGTTGACCCCATCCCAGTGTGCAACAGTGCAACAGTAGCGGCCGGCAGCAACGTCCGCGCTAAGGAAAAATCTCGACCTTCGTCGTTGCCCCTGACTCGTCCTGTTGACGTCGTGACTGCCGACGTCCGCGCGAACTAGTGAACCGCCTTTCCCCGTTCGAGGGGGGAAGGAATCAACAGGGTGGCATGTCAGCGAATATAGAGCGTGCACTCGTCCGAGGAGGAAAGGAGGATGCGGAACTGCAGGCCAGGCGGGTGGAGCTCATTGCAGCTGCCACACACAAGTCGGACGCAACTGCCGAGAGCGCGGAAGAGTCGGAGCGGCGGAAGCGCAAGGAGGAGGAGGAGGCGGCGGCGGAGGCTAAGGCCAGAGAAAGCGCGCGTTTAGACTACTGCTGGCCCGAGAGCCTCTGGTGGAGCGTGCAGTGCTGCCTGTCTTACAGCTGCCTCCGCCTCACCTCTGCAGGCGCACGGCAGCGACGGCATCGCAAGGAGGATATCGAGAGGGAAACGACGCAGCTGGAGGAGGAGATTGAAGAGGCGAGAAGGGAATCGGAGCAGGTGAAGGCCGCGCGTGCGATGCGTGCAGTGGCGGGCGGGGCGAGCCTCGTGGGGAAGATGATCGAGGTGGAGGGCCGTGCGGGCAAGGTCGTGGAGAAAGTCTCGCGCTATGGGCAGATTTCTGTAGATGCGTGTCCCAATGCATGGCCGATTCGCGCCTGCAGGTGCTTCACCGTGCTCGCCTTCACTGCCCTCTGTGTCCACACTTAGGAAGTCGACACTGCACAAGATCCAGTTCATCGACGAGGACTCGACTGAGCTGGTGCACCTCAGCAAGTCAGAGTCGACTTCCACCAAGGCAAAAGGCTTCAAGTTTATCCTGAAAGAGGGAAGCAGGGATAGTCGTTGAGGAGAAAGGGCGCAACATGTCTTTCTTGATAGCCCCGGTATCCGAAGCCTCTCGAGCTTGCTTGAGAGGTCGGCCTCCGCCCCGCAAAATAACCCCTCCGTCCACGTGGCAATCTCCCGCGTGCCGAATCGGCGCGAGAGGGGGTATCCACGGGTCGGGCGGGGGGGGGCCTCCCTCCTATATGATGATTCTAGTTCTTCCCTCCATAAGATAAGGCCACCTGTCCTCGAGTGTGTAGAGGTGGTCTTCTCGCCGCACAGAGAGGCGCGCACATACAAGATCGACAAACTCGGGTTCTGCCCTCAAAAGAAAGAAAGGCATATTTATTTTTCTGCCGCTTCAGGCCGTGTAAAATTCTCGTCAACAGGGTCTGACCTGGACACTCCTCTACCCTCGAAGCGCCTCTTCCATCGAAATGCCATTCGCATTCACTACGTGACTGCACGAGGAACAGGCGCCGCGATAAAACGCACATCATTCAACGCGGAGCTCTGCCGGTGTCCGTGTACCGTGAAAGCCTTATCCCCCAAAAGAGTCGCATCCTCATATGTGTTTCATTAATTACCCATCTCACAGTAGAATTTACACAGTAGAATGCCTAGATAGAGGTGAGAGAGATTTTTGAAAACCAACAAGAAATTCTCTCGGGAGAGGTGTCCGTTTTCATTTTTTTTATTTATTTGTTTCAAAAACAGGCATTTTACACAGGGAGGCTCCAGGCGCGCGTTCGGCTACGAGAGGGGGAAGGCCGATTGGCGGCAACCGCCGTCGCGCCGTGCTACAGCGGACAGGGTATGCTATAGGGGGGGCGTCGCACCCACAAAGAAGAATTTCAAAGAAGAATTCTACGAATACAAGCCCCTCTCACAGCAGACTGGCACAAGGACAAGAACAAAAAAATAAAAAGAAAAACCGGCGCGCTTGCGCCGGAGCTTCGTGATGCTCTTGTTCAGAGCGAAGCGAGCACGAGCAATCCGGTCGCCGTCGCGCGTCGCCCTCCGCGCGCTGAGCTCCGGCGGCGGCGGCCGCCGCACGTCCCGCCGCCACACGCCGCATAGCGGGTACGGACACGACATCCTCGGCGACACTGGCGGCTTCCAGCCCCTGAGTGAGGAGGTGAGCCGCGGCGTTGACGGGCTCTTTGCGCACGGCACCACCTCGGTCGAGTCCTACTCGAGCCGCGGTTTCGTCGTCAACGGCGTCCAGCTGCCTGGCGCGGTGCTTCTGCTGCCGGACCAGTCGTTTCTCTTCTCCGCCGCCGCTGTCGGCGAGCTGACGCCGGCGTCGCTCACGCCACTGCTGCTGCTCGAGGAGCGGCCGGAGCTGCTCATCCTCGGCTGCGGCGAGCGGATCGAGCGGCCGCCGCCCGCGGTCGGCGCGTGGGCCGCGCGGCACGGATTGGCGCTCGAGGTGCTCAACACGCGCACCGCCTCGTCGACGCTCAACTTTATGGTGCAGGAGCAGCGGCCGGTGGCGGCGGTGCTCTTCCCACCCGGCTACCGTCGGCCCAGCGAGGGCGACGAGTCGGGGTTCGGATGATGGGCACCGAGAAAGTCGACGCGAGCGGAGTGTGTGTGCGGGGAGGCGCCCTTTCGCCGGTGTGCGTGGAGCGTGCCGTGACTCGACTGCGCAGTGGAGGCCCGCGGCGAGGCCGTGTGCCCGTTGCTGTTACGTTTTTTCAATGCATAAGGGTATGAGCAGTTTGACGGCTTTCGCGCAACAGCGCTCCGAGTGCCCCTTTTTTCTCGGGAAACGGGAACAACTCTCCGCTCCAAGTGCTCTTGGACTGGAGACGCTCCGCGTGCAAATAAAGAGGTTGGAGAGAGCATGGGGCATCGGGCTAGAGCCACCGTGCCCCGTGAACCCGCGCGGGCAGATGAGCGATGAGGCTAGTCCTCGCGCTGTCGGTTACTTGTGCCTCCTTCGGACACCTGCCACCTCCCGCTCGAGAGAATCGCCAAGTAGTCTTCACAAAGTTTCGCGGCAACCTCGTCCCTCGTCGTCGACGGGGGCGAGGTCTTGTCGGAAGCGCTCCGCGTTCTCGACATAGTGCGCCGCCGACGCAGCCAGCCCTGCAGGACAAAGCAAGGTAAGGTGGTAAACGGTCCACGCTGCATGCGTGTGTGTGTGTGTGTGTGTGTGTGTGTGTGAGTGTGTGTGTGTGTGTGTGTGTGTGTGTGTGTGTGTGTGTGTGTGTGTGTGTGTGTGTGTGTGTGTGTGTGTGTGTGTGTGTGTGTGTGTGTGTGTGTGTGTGTGCGGTCAAGCAGCCCCCGGGCGGCGGGAAGCAATGGCGAACTAGGGTTGCGCGCCTTTGATCTGGTCCTCCGTCAACGTCCGGACCACCTTCGCCGGAGCCCCGATGGCGAGGGAGCCGTCTGGGATGACCTGGCGGTGGAGGGGAGGGTCTGGGTACGTGCGGGTGAGGGGCAGCAGCCGCTCAATGATTGCATATACACATATGTCTTGGAGTGGAGAGAGGAGAGTTGCGCAACAGGTACGTGTGAGGCGTGCGCCTTCCCCTCGGGCACCAGCGCGTGCGCCCCGATCAGGCAGTTCTTCCCGACGACCGCCTTGTTCAGCACCGTCGCGCCGATGCCAATCAGCGAGTTGTCGCCTAAGATGGCCGGCCACTGCCCGCGGTCTGTGAGCGAGCGGCGCGGGCTGAGCGGCACACGCGCCGCTCGCCAATCGTGCAGCCGTGGAGCATCGCGCAGTGGCCGACCGTGACGTCGTTGCCGAGAGTGAGCGGCACGCCCGCATCAGCGTGCAACACCGAGTTCTCCTGGACGTTCGTGCGCTCTCCGATGGTGATGGGCTCCGGGTTATCTCCTCGCACGACAACGCCGAACCAGATCGATGCCCGATCTCTGAGCACCACATTGCCCACCACATGAGCGTTCGGAGCGATCCAAGCTGTCGCGGCGATCATCGGCTTGAGCCGGCCGAGGGTGAAGGCTCCGCCCATAGCCCTCCTCTAGTAGCCCTTTATTCGCGGAAGTGTTGCTATCGTACAATGGAGAAGTTTACTTCGTAAGGTACCCACTCCCAACATTATTCCGCGACCCCCAACCTAGCTGCCCGGGCCTCCCACCTCACAAAGATTTGGCAAGAGCCACAAAGATTTGGCCGTCCACAAATGAGTGGCCAGGCCTCGTCCTCGACCGCAGCCGCGCCCGGCGCTCCACATCCACGGCCGCAAGGCAGGGCGCCGAAGGAGCACACGTGGGATGGAAGCTACGGGGAGAGCGGTGCCTGGCTGCACAACGTCACCGGGCTGCCCTGGGCCAAGGGCGGGCGATCAGCAGCCTCGATGGCTCAGCAGCGCGAGCGCAAGCGCGAGGACAAGCGCGACAGGAGCGGCAGGCCGGGGGAAGTTTGCGGCTCAGGAGGCGAGGCGGGGGGGCGCGCGGGTGCGGTGCGAGTGTGTGCGTGTCATGTGGCTACAGCAAGTGACCATCCGTCTGTATTATTATATTAACAACGGCGCTCTCAAAAAAAAGAAAACCGCCGCGCATCGTCGGGCCCACGCTGCTCAATCAAGCGTCGCCTCCTCGCGGCGGCTCCTGGCTGTGCCTGTGGCTGGAGATCAGCGTTCCATCCTGCGAGTGGACGGCTTGACGGCAAATCTTCCTGAAGAGGGCGGTCGCTCATCTGTCTCCGCGGTCCGTAGAGAGGGGGGGCGGGCAAACGCCGGGATTCAACATTCAAGGGCAAAAATAAAGAAAAAATGCGCAACCATCGTCGTCCCCTGCTCGCCACCCCGACGCCCAAGGCGCCCGAGTCGAACAACAGGCGGCACGCGAAGACTCGTACCACGCGGAATCGACCCTATCAAGTGCTCAAGTGCTCAAGTGCTCAAGTGAAGGCAAGGCCGCGTTGAAAGCAGTTTACCCGAGATGTGGTATCTCGAGTTCCGCTGTGGCTCCCGGCGTCTCAAGCCCGTCCGCCTGCTGGTCCGAGATGTTCTTGCGCCCAGCTGCCCCTGAAGCGGCAGCGAAGGGCGCCAAGCGGCGCTGGAGGCTCCTCGACGCGGTGGACCCCGCCGCGTATGCCAAGCCGGGCGAGCGGGTCCGCGCAAAATTTCAGGGCGACATCGGCGGCTTCAACTGTACGCGCTCATGCCCTGATCACTGTCCTTGCACAAGGGTCAGAGGGCACGCACGGACTAGGTCGCATGGGCTCCCTCCGAATCCCGTGCTTCAGCGGTTCTACTAGTGATGTCGGCCTCTGCCGCCGCTCTCGCCTCATCGCCGCCGCCCCCGCCGCCGTCTTCTCCTCTGTCCGATGCCTCCCTTGCCACCCACGCCGCCGCCACCATCCCAGCTGCCCTAGCCGCCCCCACCCACACCCCCACCCTCGCCCGAGCCAACCTCGCAGCTCCATCCCCACCGCCGTCCTCGGCCTCGCCTTCGACCAAGAACCGCTCGCCGGACCTCATCATC